TCAACACTCTTGGCACCAGTAGCCAGGAAATTAAAAGGCGCATTCTATGGGAAAGTCTGCTGTTAGGGACCTCTCCAAAATACTGAAGAGCAATGGTGTCTCTCTGGAGACCAAGGTACGTCTGATACAGGCCATGGTCTTTGCAATCACTTGTTATCCATCAGAGAGTTGGACAGTAACCAAGGAGGACAGAGGGAGAATTGATGCCTTTGAGCTGTGGTGCTGGAGAAGAGTATTGAGAGTACCATGGACTGCTAGGAAAACAAACAGATTCATCCTGGGAAAGGGTTAAACCGGGTGGCTCTTTGGAGGCAAGGATTCTGAGGCTCCATCTAACATACTTTGGACATGTTGTAAGAAGAGACTGGTCCTTGGAGAAGGACATCATGCTGGGGAGGATGGAGGGACAGCGCAGGAGGGGAAGGCCCTCTATGAGGTGGATTGATTCAGTGACTGGGGTTATTGTGATGGGAGTGCCAGAGACAGTGCGATTGGCACAAGACAGAGCAGAGTTTAGGGCTGTTGTACATAGGGTTGCTGTGAGTCGCAAGTGACTTGACAGCACATAACAACAAGAAGGTGTTTTTATTACTGTGACTGTCTAGTAGGTGTTGCTGTCAGGACATGTGAGGCCTTCTATGTTTTTCTTCATGATCATTTTGCTTATCTGGGTTTTCATTCCCTTCTGTATGAAATTGTTTGTTTTTTTTTGTACGATTGAGTGGGAACAGACCCATAGCTGACCCTCTGTCAGGTTTTCAGAGGCAGTTAATCACACAGGAGGGATGACCTATTCTTCTCCCGCAGTGCAGCTGGTGGACTCTGGTGGACTCAAACCATGTGCCTTCGGGATTGCAGCCCAGCTTCTTGCCACTAGGCTGCCAGTGCTCACTTATATTTATATATGAAACTAGTGATTACTTTTTCCATCTCTTTGAAAAATGGTGCCAGTATGTGGATATGCGTTGCACTGCACTTGTAGATTGCTTCTGGTAATATTGCATTCTCTTTGTGTTTCTTGATTATATATTACTTCCGGAAATGGTTCAGTGTCTATCAGTTCTTTTTGGTGCAGTGAATCCATGTGTGCCTTCTGAATTTTTTTGATGCTTCCTGCATAAATAAACGTTTTACTCATAGAATCTATCAGTGTTGCAGCTCAAAGTTTGAATTTGTTCTTTAGTTCTTAGAATTTGAGAAATGTTGAGTGCTCTTTTCTTTTGGTCTTCTAACTCTGGTGCTTGAACATTTTGTTACAATACTTAGTTTTCTCAAACTGCCCTTTTAAATTTTTCTGTGTTGTATTTTCATTCTCATTTGTGTAAAGAAATGCTTGAATTTCTTTTATAGTTTCTTCCATTACCAAGTAGTATTCAAACAGGCTGTTTGTTATTTAGTTTCCATGTGCTTGTTTTTTCCTCCTTTATCTCTTTGTTGTTGATGTCTAATTTTAGAAAACTGTGATATGAGAAGATGATCTGTAATATTTCAGTGATTTTGGATTTATTCATGCTTGCTTTATGACCTGACACTTGGTCTGTTCTCAAGAGCGTTAGTTGTACTCTTTAGAAGAATATATTGTGCTCATATTAGGTATTGTGTTCTTCGTATATGTCTAAGATCTCATTGGCTCATTTTATTGTTTTGTTCTTCTGCAACTTTACTAGTCTCTTTCCAGTTGTTCTGTCCTTTGTTGAAAGTGGTGTTTTGAAGTTTCCTATTTTTATTGTGGAATTATCTAGTTCCCTCTTCAAATCTGCTTAAGTTTGATTTATTACATACCTTGTAGCTTTTCCATTAGGTACATAAATAGTAATTTTGTTGCTGTTGTTGTTACGTGCCATTGAGTCTCTTGTGACTCATAGCGACCCTATGTATAAGAGCCCTAAACGCCGTTCTATCCTGTACCAGCTTCACTGTCTCAAACACACTCATTCCCACCACTCCACTCATAGAACTGATCCATCTCATCAAGGGTCTTCCTCTCTTGCGCCGTCCCTCCACTCTCCCAAAGATGATGTCCCTCTCCAAGGATCAGTCCCTCCTTGCAACATGCCCAAAGTATGTCAGACGAAGCTTCAGAATCCTTGAGTCCAAGGAGCATCCTGGCTTCACCCTCTCCAGGGCAAACCTGTTTGTTCTCCTAGCAGTCCATGGTATATTCAACACTCTTCTTCCACACTACAGCTCAAAGGCATCAATTCTCTTTCTATCATCTCTTTTCACTGTCAACTCTCCGATGCATAGCACATAATTGCAAAGACTATAGCCTGAATCAGGCACACCTTAGTCTCCAGCCTGACGTCGTTGCTCTTTAGTACTCTTGAGAGGTCCCTCACAGCTGACTTTCCCAATACTGTTCATCTCCTGATTTCCTGGCTGCTGTTACCAAGAGTGTTGATTTTGGAAACAAGTAAACTAAAACTGTTAACTATCTCAATCTCTTCACCATCCATACTGATGCTGCCAATTGGCCCAGTGGTTAGAATCTTTGTTTTCTTGATGTTGAGCTTCAGTCCATATAGGAGGCTGCAGTCGTTGACCTTCTGCAGCAAGAACTTCAGTTCCTCCTGAGTTTCAGCAAGCAGGATTGTGTCATCTGTATAACGCAGGTTGTTGTTGATTCTTCCACCAATCCTGATGCCACATTTCTCCTCATACAGCCCAGCGTCTTAGATGATCTGTTCTGCATACAGATTGAAAAGGTATGGAGACAAAATACATCCCTGACGGACCTCTTTCTTGATTTTGAACCATCCAGTGTCTCTGTGCCTCTTGACACTGCCTCTTGGTCCAAGTATAGGTTTTACATTAGCACAATCAAATGTTCTCAGATTCCCATTCCCCTCAGAGTCAGCCACAGCTTGTTATGATCCACACAGTCAAAAGCCTTTGCATAGTCATGTAAGGTACCCCAGGAAGATGGGAGAGGGCCCCACCCCCTCCCCCAGGACACCATTGCCAGAGAATTAGTTTTGGGATTCTGGGACGGAAGAGAGGCGGAGCTTTCCTCATCCCCATGCTTCACCTAAGGTACCCCAGGAAGACAGAAGAGGGACCCCCTGAGGACACCATTGCCAGAGAATTAGTTTTGGAATTCTGGGATGGGAGAGAGGTGGAGCTTTCCTCATCCCGACTCTTCACCTAAGGTACCCCAGGAAGATGGGAGAGGGACCCCTGACGACCGCGAATAGTAATTTTAGTTGTATCCTTTTGCTCAGTTGGCCCTTTAATCATCATATAATACCCTTCCTATCTCTTATCCTAGTTTTTGTCTTGAAATTTAGTTTATCATAAATTAAAATTGCTACTCCTGTGTCTTTTTTATTGCTATTTTTGTATGTATTTTTCTCCTTACCTTTGATTTTTAATTATCTTTGTCCTTCTAAGTTATGCCTGTATTGTAGATAGCATAATGATGCATCATGTCTTCCTAACCATTATGTTACCTTTCTCTTTTTTTGTTGCATTTGATTCATTCACTTTCAGTGTCATTATCTATACATAGAGTTTTAATACTGCCATTTTGCTACATTCCATTTCATGGTATTGCTGATTTCTTTGTTACATCTACTTTTCTGAATTAGTTTTACTTTTGACTTTTCTTATTTATTGCTATTGTTTTGATGTTATTTAGTCTGTATTCTATTTTTTTTACATTTTGATGAGGTTTTCTAATTTTCATAGAAGCTATTCTGTAAGTTTCTCTTTTATTCTCCTGTCTAAATCAGTTGACTTTATCTTGAAATCTCCTTGACTTCTCCATTTAAAAGTTCTGTGACTACATTGCTTAATGCCCCTTTTACATTGGGATTGTCCTCATTTGTGTATTGGTAGTCCTGGTTCCCTATTTTAAGTGTCGTGCTTAATATACTTTGTGTATTTCGGTATCTTGGTAAGTTTTCGAATGTTGTTGTTGTGTATGTTAACTTTGATTAGTTATCTCTTAGTAGCTCTTAGTACAGAGAGTTCACAGATTCCTTTAGTTTCTGTTTATCTGGAAATGTCCTTCATATTGGATGGATAGTTTTACTGGGTACAGGATTCTTGATTGGCAGTTTTTTCCTTCTTAGTTGTATATGTCATCTCCTTACCCTCTTGCTGTCATCTTGGATCTTGTCTCCATAGTTGCCATTTCTGTGCTCCATTTCATCAGATACTCTTTTGTGCTTCCAAGTGTTAATCTATTTCTTCAGTTTTTGTCTTAATATTTTAGGCTCTCAATTTGCTGTGTTTTTATTGCTTCTAATTTTCCATTTATTTTCTCTGTGTGGCCTTTCATAGTTTTTAATTCTATGTTTTTTGTGTGTTTTTTTCTCAGTCCATAAACGTTAATTAACTTACCGTTCTTTTGAATTCCTTCTTACACAGTTACAACAGCCTATATGCCTCTGAAAGATTTTCTGATTCTGTAGTTTGGTCAATTTTTAGTTCTATCTTTTTGATTTATTTAAAGTTGTCTATTGCTTCCAAGATGTCATTGTGGTGGGGTTTTCTTTGCATTATTTTGTTTTGTTGTATCTGATTGAGCTGTGTGAGTGTGTGACATCATATGCTAGCCTGATAATTATCTGCTGGTGGATGTCTTGCAGGATGGTGTTGTCTGTGCATTTCTCAGTGAATTGGTGTTCTTTGCAGTCTTTCTTTGATCAGGTTGAGGAGCTGGACTTTGGTTTTGCTTTATGGATGAAATTGTAGGAGGTAGATGTATGGCTGGTTAATGTTGCTGTTTATTGTCAGATGATTCAAAGGTATAGTGCTACAAAAAGCCAAAATCCAGACAACAGAAAACACTCCAAATCATAAACAAGATTGTGCACACACACATAAAGATAAAATAAAAATAATTTAAAAAAATTAAAAAGTACTTGGAACCATCACTCCAACTCTGTTTTGGGTTGGAATTTATGTTATGGCAATGGATTTTTAGAATCCTGTTATTTTACCATAATTAATATTGGGAAAAAGTAATTTGTGATTTTGAATTTTTTGAATTACAGATTGTACTTCTGCTAGAGAAAGAAGATAAAAATGGCATGTGTGATCCCATTATTCAAAGTTGTTTGGATATTTTAGCTGGAATCTATCTTTCTTTGAGTTTAAAGAATCCCTTGAAGAAAGTATTGGCAAGGTAAGTGTCTTGGCTATTTCGTCTCATCTCATTGCCAGCGATTGAATCAGAATTAACTCATGGCTCACCTTGCAGTATGTTGTCAGACAGTAAATCACACGGGAGGGGATTGTCCTACTTTCTCCTGTGGATTCGAACCTCTAGAGAGGTGCCACCTTGGGGTTAGCAGTGCAGCTCCCTCTGGAGGTCTCCTAAAGGGTGAGCAGGATCTTCCCATGCTGTTTACAGACTCTGAAAAGCTGCTGGAGGGTCAGCTTTGAGTTGGGTCAGACTTGACAGTTTATGACAATACATGTAATATGGTTAGATTTAGAGTAATTGAGTGATTAACATAATTTAATTTATACTTCCAGTTAATTTTTGTTAACTATCTACTATGTGCCAGGCACAACTTTAGGTATTGGAAATTTAGGGAATAAAACATTCTAAAATGAAATTTACACTGTTGTAGGGAAAAGTAGAAAATACAAGAAATAAGCCAAATATATATAGAATGTTAGTCCCATGGGGGGGGCGGAATAAAGCAGAAATGAAGAACAGGGAGTGATAATGATGGGATCAGAGTTAAAATTTAAGTGTGGTGGTCACTTGAAATACCTATATGTATGATGTCATAAATAAATATTTGAGATATGAAAGGGATGAAGGAAGAATTACTAAGGTTATCTAGAGAAGTATTATAGATCAAGAATAGTAAGAAAAAAATCCATGATTTGTTTAGGAATAGAGTGAGGCTATATACCGAGAGTGAAGTAAAGAAAACCCAAGGTGATTCTAGAGCTAATGTGGAGCCAGCTTGGAGAGGGGCTTTTATGTTACTTAAGCATTTCTGCTGCTTCTCCAGTGTTATTAGAGAACTTCAGGCAGAGGACTAACATTATAGCTAGTGTTTTAGTCCAATCACTTTTCTGTTCTCTTGAGAAAGGACTAGGTAGAATGGGAGGGAGGAGGATAAGAGAAGCAGATTATGAATGGGAAAGTTCCAGTGATATTGTGAATTTAGCGTTTTCTGTGTTTTTGTTTTTTTAATTTATTTTATTTTATTATTATTTTTGTGTGTGTGTGTGTGTTTGCGCGCACACGCTGTCAAATTGGATCTGACAGGTACAGGAGGAGATTGTCCCTCCTTTTCCAGCAGAGCATCTGGTGGATTCCAACTGCGTACCTCTGGGATTGCAGTGCAGCTTCTTGCCACTAGGCCACCAGAGCTCGTCGCATTTTCTGTGTTTTAAGGGTTCAATTTCAAGGTTCCTACAGTTATATAATCTCCTCTCCCCTCATATGTGCTACTAGGCTCTCCAATGTTTAATATTTGGTTCTTTCTTTAGTTCCTTAAATGGCTTGCCAGAATGTTTTGTGACTGAGGCTGTACAAAGTTTTACTTGTCGACTACAGGAAGAATTGAATACTACTGACTTATACTCCTATAGGAAAGTATTTGACAATATCTCTTCCTGCCTGGAGAATTTTAACTTGGGTAAGCCAGCACTCTATTATCATTATCAAATACACCGTTATCATTGTTTTTCAGTGCTGCCAATTTTGGTTCTGCATTTCCTTACTAGTGTCAATTCTCTCTCCACCCTCAGGTAGAGAAAGTATTAATAAGTTGCTTGAAAATGGTAAGTCCTTTTATTTTTATGTTATTCTGAGATATGACCGGATTATGAATCATTTAGGAATTGGTTCTTCTGTGTTTCTTGGTGATGGTAAAGCATTGCAGATAACTGTAATAATTTTCCTTTATTTTAAATCTTTGCTTCTGTCATTTTAGGAAATAGTGATTTAAACTGTTCCCTTGAATTGTTTGAAATTTCAACCCTCTGTACCATGTGTGCTTAAGGAGCACTGGTGTGGTGTAGGGGGTTGTATGTTTGGCTGCCAAGGGAAAGGTCAGGGGTTTCAGAAAGATGAGGCCGACTGTTCGCATTAAGATTTATAGCCTCTGGAAAATGGTAGAGGGTCACCATGAGTCAGAATCAACTTAATGACAGTGAGTTTTGGGTTATCGTATATTTCTGGTTTATATCTAATAAAATATCTGTTTAATTATTGCAGTGCTTCATTTCCTGCAGAAGAGTTTAATTGAAATCTTGGAAGAAAATAGGCAAGTGTTTACGTGTTTGGATATGTATGCTTCAGTTATGTACTGCTTTTGTGAAAATAAAATTTACAGATTGCAGAATGTACTCCTTTTCATCCTTCTTAATATGAAACTTAAGTATATAAATTCATTTTTTTTGATATTTGATATATAATTTTTAAAAATAAAATAAATTACTATGAAACTGATACTAATACTGAGAAATAATGAGAATGATGCGTGGAGCTTTTGTTCCCCAATTTTGAATGTTTATAGCCTCCCATTCTCATTTCACTCGTTAAATAGCCTTTCATGGCTCTCTGAAAGCATAGTTTACGGTTTTTTTGTCTCTCCATAGCATCAATTTCTTACAAGTTACTTTTTCCTGTTCCTGGTTTGATCATTATATTTCTTCCTAAAGGTTTTCCTCAGTGTCGAAGTGGTCTTTGGTATATGGTATTTAAGGGTGGGATTCTAAGAGTTGATTTGAGTCTCGGTGTGTGTGACTAGGATTGACTCCACATTTTATTGTAGACTGGTCTAACTAGGCTGTTTCCTTGGGGTCCACTCTGGTAGCAGTACCTTTTTCTTGGCCGGTAGATAATCTGTGGAACAGTCTTCTAATCCATTAATAATCAGCTTGCCGAGTGAGAGAAGAGTGATATTTGGCGTTCCCTGTGTGTATAGTGACTTAACACTGTTTTTCCAACGTGGTTTAGCTGCTTTCTCTGTATGTACTGCCTTCCAGTTTTTATCCTTTTTTAGAGGTAGACTAGGTGTCTCTAGGTTTGAGAATGGTAATTGAGAGTTGTTATTGTTTCTTATACAGATTTATAACCACTCTTCCTGTTTTTAGCTCTATATTTACTCTCATATCAAAGAGTACCTGGTGCCAACAGTTCCTGAGTTTTTGTGGTTGCCCGTCAAGTTGCTTCTGAGTTTATCTCTTTCAGCATGACATTCACCTTTCATGATTTTTCTACATGTTATTACTCTTTTATCTGCTTGCCAACTTCCAAAGTTTTATTGTTATTGTCGTATTACCTGTTTGTTGTCCTGTTGCTGGACTTTATGAAGAAGAATGTGACATCAATATGGAAAAAGACTCATCAACAGCTGTGTTGTGCAGCTGATACAACCTTGCTTGCTGAAAATGAGGACGAATTCAGGCATTTGTTGCAGAAAAGCAAGGATTACCTATAGTCCTCAATGTGGATTACCGTTTAACATCAAGAAAACAAAAATCCTTACCACTGGGCAACATAATGCCAGGTGGTGATAAGATTGAAGTTGTCAATGAATTCATCTTCTTTGGATCTACAAACGGCATCCTTGGTTCCAGCAGTCTGATCAGGAGGCATTGAGAAAGTCTGCCCAGGGACTTCTCCAAAGTCCTAAAGAGCAGTGATGTCCTTTTAAGACTTCATTCCTTGAATCATGGCCTGATTCAAGCTATGATCTTTTCAGTCACTTTCTATGCATCTGAGGGCTGGACAGTAAATAAGGATGACAGAAGAAGATTCAATGCCATTGATTCAACATTGAGTATTGGAGAAGAATACTGAATATCTCATGGCCTGTGAAAAGAACATTATAGGTATGTCTTAGAGAAGGTGCAACGAGTGTTTCCTAGAGACAAGGATGGTGAAGCTTCGTTTCACACACTTTGGACATGTTGTTAAGAGAGACTATTGCATGGAAAATCATCCAAAGATTTTTTTTTCCCTCTCATCCAAGAATTTTGAAGCTCCATCTCACATAGTTTGGGCATATGGCTAGGAGTGACTGGTCCTTGGAGAAAGATATTATGCTCAGAAGGGTGGAGGGACAGTGTAGGAGAGGGAGACCGTAGACTAGATGGATTGATATAATAACTGGGGCAATGGGGGAAGGTGTCTTGGAATTAGTGAGACTGGCTCAGGACAGGGCAGGCTTCAGAACTGTTGTATATACAGATATTTCACTGTGAGTTGCAGGCGACTTGATGGCACATAACAACAACAATTGCTTGGAAGAATATGCCTGGAAAGGCAGGAGAGTCAGTGAAAGAGAAGAAGGCATTTAGCAAGGTGGATTGTTCACAATGAATGCAACAATGTGCTCATATGTGTCGAGGATGGTAAGGATGGCACAGGATAGGATAGGGTTCAAATCTGTTGTTCATAGGGTCATGGATAGTCATATGTGACTCTTTGTCACCTAACAAAAATCTCAACCATTCCATGAGGGTTTCAAGAGGGAGTAGAGTGAAACTTACAGGTCATCTTTACTCTTAAGATCTCCTTTTTGCCTCTCTAAGATTTCCTTCTTCACCTTTCAAGTTCCTCTTCCTCTGTCCATCTCTTAAGTGAGGATTATATTCATTTTTCTTTTTGTTCCAATTACTTAATCTTGTTCTTTTCCTTATTGCCAGCTACTATCTAATATGTGACTCCAAGAAAGAGCTCCTCTCTGAATGGTAGACTCCTGCAATCAGCTGCTGCTCCCAGAGAGATCTCAGCTTTTTTACAGGCACCTCAAGTTCAGTGTCACTTGTGTTTTAATACCATGCTTATATTAGTGAAAAGCAGCCTTTTCCACCAAGCTACCCAGACTGAGGTCTTATCCTGCCCTGTGCCTTTCTGTACAGTCCTTTACATTTAAATTGTGAGCAAGACATCTGGTCTTGCTCTAACCAGCTGTTGGATCTAAAACCAGATGACTTGCTCTACTTCTTTGATTACTTTTGTATCTACTTCTTTTCTTTTTACCCCTCTGCTCCTTTCTCCCCCCTCCTTGGATCCTCATACATGTTCTACAATAATGGTCTTATATAGTATTTGTCCTTATGGGGCTGAGTTAGTTCATTTAGTATATTGCTCTCAAGTCCCTCCCAAGGTAGGTAGTAGCTTACAAAATCATTGCTCCTGTGTAGTATTCCATCCTATGAATTTAGCCTAATTTCTCAAACCTTTCCCTTGTGGTTGGACATTTGGGCTGTTTTCATGTTCTTGTGGTAAATGCTGTTATGAACATTGTTGTACAATGTATCTACTTATTTATATAATTAGTATTTACTTTAGAACCTTGAGGTCTTTTGCCCAGGCCAAAGCAGTAGTTTACTGATTGTTCTCCCCTCCTCTGGTGCTTCTTCTGGCAATTGATCCTTCTTACTCTGTATCTGACAAGTGACATCCAGTTTACTGACTAAAGGTTAGAAGCCATCCTTCAACCTAAAGCCCTTTTCAGTTTTATACCTCACTGTATACCTCTTATCCTCAGTGCGTTACCCTCAGTAAATCGCATGTAATTGTTTGAGGTTGTTGTGGGGAATCTTAGCTCTGCACCTTTACTTACGGTGTGCCTTTGGTTTATAATGACTTTGACTACATGTCTACTTTGGAAAATTCTGTGAATCTTTCAAAAGTATAATTAAATATCCATGCAGCTTTGCCTATCTTGTTACAACTTACCAGCCTGTTCTGTGCTGACACTTCTGTTGCAGTAAATGATTGTTGCACTTATTTGTTATGTTTTGTTGTTGTTGTTATGTGCTGTGGACTCATAGTGACCCTAGAAACAACAGCTCTGAACCCTGTCCTATCCTGTGCTGTCCTCATCATCTCTGACATTGTATTCGTTATGTGTGAAGCCATCTTCATTGACTTATATGTGACGCCCCACACAGTATATAGTGTGTAGTAGGTACTAGTTAAATATGTGGTAGATGTGATGAGATGCGTAGTTGAATTTTAAAAAATATAACTATTCTTTGTTGAAAATAGGGTGCTGTGGTTGCCTCGCCTGTAGCCATGAGTTGAGCTGCTAACCCGAAGCCTGCTCGTCTCTAGCAGTCTGAATTCATGAGCAGCTCTGAGGGAGCTAAAGGCAGATAGTCTCCTGTTGGGATTTATAACCTTGGGAGCCTGGTGGAGGGTTGCTCTGAGTCAGAACTAATTTGATGGCAGTGAGTGAGACTTAAAATAGTAAAGGCATTCACTTTTAAAGGACAGGTCCATAAGAATGGAGTATAGGATTTGTGTGGTGGTTTTGTAATGTTTGGAAAATGATACTGATAGAGAGAAAAGAGGGAAGAATCAGAAGAGCAGAGGTTGCTGAGGGACCAATAAGATGGTTACTATTAAATAGGGAGCTCTGGTGGCCTAGTGGATAAGGAGCTGAGCTGTCAACCTAAAGGCTCACAGTTTGAATCCACCAACTGCTACACAGGAGAAAAATAAATGGTCTCTTCCTTTGTAATTTGTAGCCTCTGAAAACTCACTGGAGTGTCACCTATGAGTTGATTCTGACCCAACAACATATAACACACACCTGGAACACTTGTATTGTAGGTCTTATTCCAGGCTCTGGCTATATAGCAGTTTACAAAATTCAGGGCTCTTCCCTCAAGGCGCATAGATTTTTTTCAGGCAATAAATGATGCTTTGGGCAGAATGTTAAATGATCCAGGAGGTATCAAAAGAAGATGGAAGGAATATTTTGAGTCATTGTATAGAAAGGAATTGGCAGATACAGAAGAATTTAAGGAAACAACATATGAGCAGGAGCCTATGGTGAAGGCAGAAGCTTAAGCTGCTTTGAAAGAAATAGCAAAAAATAGGGCCCCCGGAATAGATGGTATACCAATTGACATATTTCAGCTAACAGATGCTGCCCTGGATGTGCTCACCAAGCTGTGTCAAGAAATCTGGAGAACAACCACTTGGCCAACGGACTGGAAGAGATCTATATTTGTTCCCACTCCAAAGAAGGGTGACCCAACTGAGTGTGGAAACTACAGAACAATAGCATTGATGTCACATGCAAGCAAGATTCTACTGAAGATTATCCAAAAATGACTGGAACAGTACATCAGCAGAGAACTGGCAGAAGTCCAGGCTGGGTTTAGAAGGGGTCGTGGTACTAGGGATATTGTAGCCGATGTTAGATGGATCTTAACTGAAAGCAGAGAATGCCAGAAGAATGTCTATCTGTGTTTCATTGATTATGCAAAGGCATTTGACTGCGTGGATCATAACAAACTGTGGCTGACTCTGAGAAGAATGGGAATCTCAGAACATTTAATCGTGCTAATGTGAAACCTATACTTGCACCAAGAGGCAGTCGTCAGAACAGAGCAGGGCAACACTGAGTGGTTCAAAATTGGGAAGGGTGTACGCCAGGGATGAGTCCTATCTCCATACCTTTTCAACCTGTATGCAGAGCAGATTATCCAACAGGCTGGGCTCTATGAGGAGACACGTGGCGGTAGGGTTGGTGGAAGATCTTTTAACAATCTGCGTTATGCAGACGATACAACCTTGCTCACTGAAACTGAGGAGGGCCTGAAGCACCTGCTGCAGAGGGTCAAGGACTGCAGCCTTCAGTATGGACTGAGACCCAATGTCAAGAAGACAAAGATTCTCACCACTGGACCAATTGGTAGCATCAGGATGTATGGCGAAGAGATTGAGATTGTTCACAGCTTCAGTTTGCTCGGCTCCACAGTCAACAGTCTTGGCACCAGCAGCCAGGAAATCAAAAAACGTATTGCGATGGGAAAGTCTGCTATTAGGGACCTCTCTAAAGTACTCAAGAGCAACGGTATCTCTTTGGAGACGAAGGTGCGCCTGATACAGGCCATGGTCTTTGCAGTCACTTGTTATGCATCAGAGAGCTGGTCAATGACTAGGGAGGACAGAAAGAGAATTGACGCCTTTGAGCTGTGGTACTGGAGAAGAGTATTGAATGTACCATGGACTGCCAAGAAAACAAAGGCTACTCCTTGGAGACAAAGATTCTGGCGCTTCGTCTGACATACTTTGGACATGTTGCAGGGAGAGATAGGTCTTTGAAGAGGGACATCATGCTGGGTAGAGTAGAGGGACAGTGCAGGAGGGGAAGACCCTCCATGAGGTGGATTGATTCAGTAACTGGGGTAACCGGGATGGGTGTGTCAGAGGCAATGGGATTGGCATAGGATAGAGTGGGGTTTAGGGCTGTTGTGTGTGTACATAGGGTCGCTATGAGTCGTAAACGACTTGATGGCACATAACAACAACAACAACAACAACAACAACAACAACATCAGGAAGTAACCTATCCAGTATGTTAAAAGGTAACAAGTGCTGTGTGAATAGAAGAAAAAACTCAAGTGAGCAGATCCAAAGAACTGGTGAAAGTAGGCTAAGCTTCTTTAAGAAGTGAGTGTTTGAGGAAAGATTTGAAGGAGGTAGCCACACAGGTAACTGAGAGAACATCTCAGGCAGAGGTCTGGCGGGGTGTGCTGGGGTGGTGAAGGAGTGACATATAGGGGAACAGGTGCCAGATCATAGGCCATGGACAAGAGTTTGGCTTTTACTCTTAATAACTGGGGATCCATTTTGAATTCTGAGCAGCAAGGGAATGTGATCTGACTTATGTTTTAATAGGGTTGCTCTTGCTGTATATGCAGGTTGGGAATAGACCAGTAGAAACTGAAGGGCTAGTAAATAGGCTTTTGGCAGTAATCCCAGGGGGAGATCAAGTGGCTCAGACCAGGATGGTAGCAGAGGAGCTAGTCAGATTCTGGATATGGTTTGGAGGTGGAGCTTACAGGATTTCCTTACAGGTAGAATATGTTGTTAAGTGTGTTGAATGGAGTACAATTCATAGCTGCCCTGTGAACAGCCGATCTGAACGCTGTCCTATTCTTATCCCTCACACATGTGAGCTCATTGCTGAAGTCACTGTGTCAGTCCATCTTGTTGAGGGTCTTGCCATCTTTCACTGACCTATATTATTCTCAGAAAGGGACATCATGCTTGGAAAGGTGGAATATAAGATAGAATGATTAGTTTTTGTAGGATCAAGAAACTTGTGGATGGAGCCTGTTTGAACTTAAAGATAAACTCATATCTTTTGGAATATCTTTATGGTGATCCAGGGGAAGTAAGCAGCAGGAATTAGTGTGTCTGGAATTAGTGAGATAAAAGTTTGGGCTGGAGAGAAGAGTTTGGGAATTGATAGCATGTAGATGTAATTTATAGCTTCTAAGCTAGATACAGTCAGCATCAAGTGGATGATGAAAGTTATGATGAGCTGGAGAAAAAAAGAGGACAGGCCTGAATCTTGGAGAGCTCTTAGATTAAAAGACCAGTGGGAAGAAACCATGCTAAGGTGTCTGAGAAGGAGTGACAGTGAAGTGGGTGGAAATCTGGAAGAGTCTAGCATCTTGAAAGCCAGGTGAAGAAATCCTCCAGATGGAGGGAGTGATTAGCTTTGTAAATGATATCATTTGTTCTAGATTTATTCTGTGAAATAGAAATAAGAGTAGTTAATTTTGGCTGGGGGAAAAATGTCTTAAAAGTGCTGGAAGTTTGCATGTTGTGGTATTAGAAGAATGTGTACTATAAAATTGATCGTGATACATTGAAAAATGCGCTTTAAAAAACAAAGACAGAAATACCCTTCTTGCTGAAATTTGAGTGCATATGTACAGAGCAAGCCAGTTTTTCATTCAATCATTCTTCCACATTCTGTTCTGTGACATGGATTCTAGTTCCCCACTGTCACCACATTTTCCCACTTTGTCCTGGAATTCTTGTTTCTATTCATTTTCTTTTCACTCTTCTTAGCTTCTGAGCTTTATCCCTGGGTCAGTATTACTCTTTTAATTGTGATAGTCCTGTCTGTTGTTTCAAAGTTGAGTCATTACAGTGCAGTTCAGTTCCAGGCTTAAAAGGTAACTAAGGGCCATAGTGTTAGAGGTCCCCGGAATATTGACCAGATTAGTAAGCCTGGCCCTTGATTCCTGCTTTTCTCCCACTCTGCTCAGTACTTGTCTGTGATCCCTCTCAGAGCACTCAGATCAGGTACTGAGCACAATCTTGTACTTCTGCATTCAGGGAACCTGTTTATTTTGGTGTGGAGGATGGAAATAGTGACACTTCTGTTTGTGTTTTCTCTTGTAATACTGTCTTTTCTTCTTTGTAGAAAATTTACAGGAAATCATATTGTTCAAACACAATTGATGAATGACCTATTGGTAGGCATTAGAGTTTCAATGATAGTAGTACAGAAAGTGCATAGTTTCCAGACAAGTTTTTGGAAGACTTCTACTTCTCCAGAATGGCAAAGCATGTGTGCCTTGCTGAGTATTTTCACCAAGTTTTTAAATGATGGTAAGTAACAGTGAACAGATGGTTATTGTATGTCAATCAACTTTTCTTAATGATTATTTGAAATACATGATATTAAATGAGATGTACAACTTCCCCTCCCTCCCTTCCACCCTAAAAGAAAGGAAAAGTTCTGGGTTGTAGGCTTTTAATATTTTTTTTCCTTTCAAATGTACTGATTCATAAGGAATAATGCTAAATTTATGCATGTTTATGTGCATACACATACTTTCATATATATATGCACACACGCAGAGTACAAAATCTAACAAAATTAGTGTTTAAAAGCTATAGATTTTTAATAACAAAAAACTATTTGAAAAGAAAATTTTTATGTCTGGAGGGATGATCTAGAAAAGTGTAACCCATGCATTTTTTTCTTGTTAGCAGGAAGTGATATCTTCAGATAATTAAAGTAATTGCTGACTGTGGGACTAGTCAGTATTCTTCTTTATGTCTTAGGAGCTGCTTGTATTCACATAAATTATACTACTGGGCCTTTAAATAGTAGCTATGAGGATGTACCTTTTTTGAAATTATTCCAACTGATATCTGAAAAAGAAATGATGACTATATTCAAGTTTAACTCCTTATGAATGAATAGGTACAGATTAAGCAGTAACAACTGTTAATGTTACTGAAAGTATATATAACATTAGAGGTGTTGAAAACTATGGATGGTGGCCATCTATTCGGAAATAAAATGCTGTGAGTGATAGGATCCTTTCCAGACACATACAAGGAAGTCCTATTAATACAGTTGTTATTAAAATATACTCACCAGCCACTAACTAAAATCATGAAAAATTTGAGGACTGTGCAGGGAGCACTGTTCACCTAGAGGCTTAATGCAGGTAAAACAAGAAGGTAATCAAATGAAGACTTAACTTGAGTAAGGCTTGCTTTGGGTACAGTGCCAATCATAGCACAGTTTCTAATTAGTGCTAGTGTAGACTCTACATATGACCTCAAACCTCATTAAGAAAAAGTGTATGCACGTGGGATTTGGGATGGAATGGCAAGAGTGTGCATGTGTGGTTTGGGATGGGGTGGCATTGGTGGAGAGGGGCTGAGATGTGCTGTGGTCATGGCATTGATAGGTATGCAGATAGGAAGGAATGGTGCATAACGGAAGAGCGGTAACAGAGAAAGGAGGGAATCATTTTTAAAATATTTGCTGAACATAAAGCCTGTTATGTTTTTAGTCTTAACAAGTTTAACAGGAACAATGTTGCTAGGAATTAGTTTTTCCTTCTTATTTTGTCACAGTTGGCATTGTGTCTAAATTCTCTGCTGCTAACAGAAAGGTCATTGTTTCAAACCCACTAGCTTCTCTAGGAGAAAGATGTGATTGCTTCCAAAAAGACTACAGCCTTGGAACCCTATGGGATAATTCTTCTTTATCCTGCTAGGCTTGCTATGAGGGAGAATTGGCTCGTTTGCAGTGAATTTTGTTTTCAGATTTTTTTTTCTTAAAAGAGACAGCTAAGTCCCAGCAAGGTTAGCTAATAGGAAGTGCCAATGGAGAATTTGCTGCCAGGACTGTCTGGTATCAAAGCACCTTCTCTCCACCAGATCAGCATGTGTATCTGTTGTCACTTAATATGCACTTTCTCCTTTTCTTTATTTTTTTCCAAATAGATGACCTCCTACAGACAATTCATAGCACATCTGGATTAGCTATTATTCTCTTTATTAAGACTATGTTTGATCCACCTGAAAGGATCCCTAGTTTGGTATGTATATCTCCTTTTTAAAAATTTTTCTTTAATGACTTACACGTAGGTTTAAAAAATAGAGTAATATGAATAAAAGTAAAATTTATTTATTGCTTGCTTATTCTATATTTTTCTAATATTTTTTCTTTTATAATAAGAATGTTTATCATTGACAATTCTGAAAATTCAGATAAATAAAAAGAAGGTGAGAATTATTGTTTTTTTGTACTACAGAATTGGAAGCAACTCATAGGTGACCCTCCATCAGATGTTTAGAGATTGTAAATTGCATGGGAGGAAATTGCCCATTTTTCTCCTGTGGGGCAACTGGTGGATTCAAACTCTGTGCTTTTGGGTTGACAGAGTGACTTCTTATTACTAGACCTCCATCTCACAGCATAATTGTTGTCACTATTTTTGATGTATATCTGTTTGGGTTTTTTTACTGTCTTTTGTTTAGCCCAGTCTCATCAGTAACATGAGATGTATTTGTAATATTAAAATTAATGCAGAAATTAATATGTAGACACCCATATAGTAATAAATTCTTGATAAATATTTTCTTTGTATAAAAAATAACCCAAGTTTGGTATTTTAGGTGGGAAATTTGTTAGTCAATTCAATGAATTTGATCTACATGGAAAGTATAATTTGATAATTTAGGCTACATTCCTATACTGACAATGAGTGAGTTTTAGGATATCATCCAGAACATTTTTTAAACTTTTTGTCTGATTTTATGCAAAATGTATGTATACTGTTCTGTGAGATTAAATGAATTATCACTAGATAAAGTTTAAATTTTTATCTCAAAGCATCAGTAAAAATCCTTCATTAAATGTTTCCACCTTCTTTGTTTTGACGTAACAGTATATTAGAATGATTCATACTGAGAAAATAGTTCTTATTTTTATAAAAGATAATTTTAATGCTTGTGCCTATGCAGTGGTTTTTGTTTCCTGGGATGTTTCAGGGTAAAGAGATTTTTGGATCTATATTTTGAAATACCTCGGGAAAGTTTGAGACTTTGTGTGTATTAAGACCAGTGTTATTTTTTCAGATTAGCAGTTTGCTTCTTGGTTCAGTGGACTGCACAAGCGTGCCTGAGTGGTTTAGGAGCAGCTGCAGGAGTCTTTGTGGTGCAGAGATCTCTGGGTCTGCTCTCTTATTCCTTTGTCAAGGGACCCTTGCCATGTTGGACTGGCAGAATGGAAGCATGGGCCTGCCTGGGGAGGCGCTGCTCTTGGATACTGCCAACGTTTTGTTCACCTTGAACTCACAGTGAGTTTTCATGCCACTGTTTCTCATTTTAGTTTTGCTTGTAAGAAAGAATTGGAAGCATTAATAGATGGCAACTGAACTGGCATACTTAGTAATTCTGTAGTGGTAAGGGTAAGTCCTGAATTTAAAATGCTACGTTTGTAAGAAATGAAGTGGGTATGAAAGTAGAACAAGAGAAAATGGGATGATCATGTTAATGAATTGTAGGAATTACTGATGTTCATTAACCTGTACCAAACATCTTTAGATTAATTTCAACATTCAATCCGTGTGCAGGCATTTTTTAAAATGATAAAAATTTCCTTCTGTATAATGCTTTAGACCTCCTAAAGAATTTCAGCTCAGGTGATCACCTTTGATCCTCATGTCTAAGAATCAGAATTATTGTTATGCATTGTCGAGTCAGAATTGACTCATAGAAGACCCTCCAGCAGGATTTTTTTTTAAATTTTTTTTTATATTATTCTGATTTATTTACAAAGTTGGATATATTGTTTTTCACAAACGATTCTTTCCATTTCCTTCACCCCACCCACCCATCAAATTAGAATTGTGCATCCTATCCCCCTCCTCTATTTCCATCCTCTCCCCACCTTGGATTCTCATTCTACAATAATGGTTTTATACAGTATTTGTCCTTATGGGACTGAGTTAGTTCACTCAGCATAATGCTCTACAGTCCCTCACAAGTAGGTAGCAATTTACAAAATCATTGCTCCTGCATGCTGTATAGTATTTCATCGTATGAATGTACCACACCTTCTCAGTCCATCTGTTTGTCATTGAACATCTGGACTGTTTCCATGTTCTTGCAGTGGTGAATAATCCAGCAGGTTTTTAGAGGCTGTAATTATCTGGGAGGAGATTTCCCATCTTTATCCCACAGAACAGCTGGTGGATTTGAACTGTGTGCCTTCAGGTTGACAACACAGCTTATATCCACTGTACCATCAGACCTCCCTGATAGGCAGAACAGGGAATCTTATTTTGTTGAGAGGGCAAAATGAAGCTAAGAAAAGTAAGTGCTTATCTACTAGCATTTGCTATTAAGAACTACACATTTTCTATACTTCTTTTGACTACATTTTTCTGTACATTACTGTTTTTGCCATACTAGTTGAACATGATAATTTACTTAACTATTAAATGGATAGAGCTTGATAGGAAAAACTACAATCTTCTAATGAAGAATTTTATACTTTGTTTAGTGTATATGTTTAAAAATTATACGTATTTTTAGGGAATTTTATAATGATATAATCTCCTCCCGTGCGATTACCTGCCTCTGAAAACCCACCAGAGGATCAGCTGTGGGTCGATTCTGACCCAATGGTGAACAATAACAACAACAATGACAACAACTTTGTTATGTTTTTTACAACAGTTTTATTAAACTAGAATTCACATCCTGTACAGTTCAGCTGTTTAAAGGACGTGGTTCAATATTCACAGTTCTGTAGCCATCACAATTAGTTTTAGAACATTTTTGTTGTCTCATAAAGAAACTTCATATGTGATAGCAGTCTCACTTTCCATTCCTTCCTAAACTGTTCCCTAACTCTAGCCCCTCCTGAGGTTTTAATTATAATTGTGGTAAACCTAGGTAACAAGGCATTTGCCATTTTAGCAGTCTCCAGATATATAGTTAAGTGCCTTAAGTATGTTCACCATATTGTTCAGCCATCATCATTCCCACATTTTCCCATTAATTTACCAGAAGATCAGTGTTCCCTTAGAGTTGTTTTCATTTCCTTTTTTTCTACCTATCCTTGGTAACCACTAATGAACTTTGACCTCCATCTGTTTACCTACTCTAAATATTTCAAATCAATGAGATCTTAAAGTTTTTGTTTCTTTGTGGTTGACATTTCTCTTGGTGTGATGTTTTTAAGTTTCGTACTCAAGCACTCATAATGTTGTAGTATCTGTGAGCCCTTCATTTCTTTTTATGGCTGAGTAATTCATTGTAGTTCATTGTTATTGTTGTTGTTATGTGATGTCGAGAATATTGAATGTACTGTGCAGTTCCAGAAGAATGAACAGATCTGTTGTAGAGAAAGTGTAGTCAGAATACCTTAGAAGCAGGATGACTAGACTTTGTTTCCTAGACTTTAGACATGTTATCCACAAGACCAGTCCTTGGAGAAGGACTTCATGATTGATAAAGCAGAGGGTCAGTGAAAAAGAGGAGACCACAGCAAGATGGCCTGATACAGTAGCTGCAGCAGTGATGGGGCGAGCAGTGATGGGGTGTAGGACAAGACAGTGTTCTTTCTCTTGTACATAGGGGTTGCTATGAGTTGGAACCAACTCTAATGGCACTTAATAACAACAAATGTTGTTGTTGTTGTTGATTGCTTTCAAGTCGAACAAAAGGCCTGAAGCTGCTCTATAGCTATCCACATTTCTCAAAGTTCATACTTTCCAGAGGCCTGCTATTTAAGAAGTGGATGCCACCCCTGCTTCCAAAAAACAAATGTAGATGACACATTTTATCCATTCATCCCTCTTTTTTTATTGGGAAAAACATATTGGGGGTACAAGGAGGTGAGGGTTGGGGGCAGAAGGGTGAGGATGGGCCAGGATGCAGTTGCAGAGCTGCACAGTTTGGTC